TTTTTTTTTTTTTTTTTTTTTTTTTTTTTGTTTGGTTTTTTTGTTTTGTCCTTCCAAGTGAACAAGTTCATATATTCTCACATTTGCCCATTAATTTACACTATTTGCCAACTTTTGTGGATTTTTTTAACCTGATATTGATAGCTTACTTTCCTACATGGTTTGGTTTCATGGATAAGTTTTTAATTTTTTTTTTCATTCGTGGGATGTAGGCATCATTGCCTAGGCCAGTATTTAGTGCCCATCTCTAACTGCCCAGAGGACAGTTAAGAGTCAACTTCAGTGTTGTGGCTCTGGGGTTCCACATGGGCCAGACCAGGTAAGGATGGCACATTTCCTTTTCCAACGGACATTTAGTGAACCAGATGAAATTTAACAATTGACAGCGGTTACATGGTCATCATTTAGCCTAACCTTTTATTCCAAACTGTATACCATATAAAGTCACCATAGTCTTAACAGACCATAGGGCTGCTCTCTCATTAGAAAGATGACTGTGGTGGTTTAACCTGAGGTCACCATGCTTCGGGTGAGGGAGAGGTTGAGAAGGAGAGTCCTTCATGGTAACCTCAGCCAGTGTAGGAATTGTGACCGTGGTGTTGGCGTAACTCTGCATCGCACGCAAACCAGCTAACCAACACCAGAAGATAGCAACCAATGCACTTTAATAAGATCTGCTTTCATGCCCTTATTAATCATCTTTTAATCAGGTCAAAACACTTCGATCCAAATTTCTTTCCTTCAAAATGAATGTGAAATTCTGTCATACTGTGTTCATTGTTGCCCAGGGCCACCTTTACAAAGGGGTTATTGATTAATCTTGTCTTGTGCTTATCCATTTTTGAGGTATGTGAAGGAGCAATGATTCGTTTCACTGTAACGCATAATGCTTTACCTGTGCACCATGTCCTCCTAGCATGCATTCAAATACAATGACACATCTTGTGTTACCATTTCATTTACAGAAGTGCTTACCTAACTACTAACTAATAAAAATATTCTGACCTACTGTTTTTCAAAAGACTATTCCAGTGTTTTCCAGTTGCCCGTAATCATTGAAATATTTAAGTTTCTTCATGACATGAAGGACCCATTTTTAGAATCTGCCCATAAGTCTTTCCTTGTGAAAACTGGTGTGCAGAAATTAGTTTACAAGTATTCCTCAATGCACTACTATTTGCACAGCTTTAAGCTTCTCTAATTTCTTTTTGATGTTTAGTCATTCCTCTCTTGCTCACTTATCAATTCTAGTGGTCAGATTAAATATCTTGATTCTTCTCGTCACCAAAAAATCTCAATGCTTCTTGACACCTTGTAATTTTCAGTTTGATTTGATCATTTTCTTCTGATTTATGAATGGAATGTAGTTTTGGTTTTTGTATTTGTTCCTGTTCTGTGTGCCCAGTGTGTTTTATGGCTTCATTATCATTGAATTGGTGAACTGCCAGCACTACGCATGTTTGTTTTGCAAGGATAGGAAATAAAGTGAAACTTCAATAGGTAGATTCTGTTTTTAGAACTGAAGTGAAGATGTGAAGGAAGCAGCAGTCTATAGTAACGAGGAATGCTTTTCATATATAAAATATTACAACCATAAGACTTGAAACACTAAAATAATGATTGCCAGACATGCCTCTAGCTTTCCCATATTGCAGCCATACACTGATTTTTAAATGCTTCTGTGAAATGGTTGCCTTACAAGGAGAGATTGAACAAGTTGGATCTATGCATGTTGGAGTTTAGAAGAATGAGAAGTGATCTGATTGCAACATCATACTCTGAAGGGGCTTGGCAGGGTAGATGCTGAGATGATATTTCCCCTTGTGGTGAAATTTAGAGCTGGAACACAATTTTAAAAATAAAAATACCTTTTCTTTTTTTGTTACTTCTAGAGGATTGTTAATCTCTGCAGTTCACTTTTCCAGTGAGTAGTTGAGCCTGGATCATTCAACATATTAAAGGCCAAGTCAGACTGACTTTTTAATTAACAAGTGAGTTGAGGTTTATGGCACATAGGTGGGAGAGTGGAGTAACAGTCGTGACCAGATCAGCCCTGATCTTACAGAATGGAACGGTTGGCTAAATGGTCTAATCCTGCTCCTATTTATTTTGATCTTATGACATGTAATGCCCATGTTTTGATGGTGAATGATGAGCAGAAACAGAAATGGCCTTGTGATCATCAATTACATTCAGTAACTGACTTCACAGCTTTGGCTAGATGTGAATAGGTTTGCAGCATTCTTATTATTTTTTTTTTTGTTTGCTAGTATTTTTGAAAGTATCTTTTTGTTCATAACCATAATTGAAGACCTGTTTTTGAAATACAATTCTTCGTAACACAGAGGGTGTGAGCTACTTATTGATTTCGAAGAGAAGCTAACAGTACATTTGCTTAATCTTTTGGAGGGGGAACTACTTTCAACTAATTGCGTTCCTTAACCCACTTTCTTGCCCCGAAACTCATGCATATACTGTTCTTCTTCAGAAAGTCAATGCATAAATTTTTTCCAACTTTTTTTTTTGTAGAAAATTGTCATAAATTCTGGAGTTGTGGCTGTTCTTAATTATTAGTTTGTACATCACATTGCTGTTCTTATGGTTACCAGGGAATGATGGTTTGCTCTCATTGGCGAAATTGTTTACTCAAGATTCATTGTCATGCATCTCTAGCTTGAATGTCAGGTAATCATTTTTAAAATATTTTTCTTCACTCCACATACATCATTCTGGCTGATAAGATGTAATCACTTGGTCCAAGGTTGGTCTTAGGTTTTCAAAAATGGCATGAAATTACTTGTGCTCAGATTTCAGAACAAGAGGAAAACATTCTCTCCTTTTGTGGTACCTAACCATTCAGTCTGATAAAAATTAGAGGTAATCAGTTGTCTTCATCCAACATCAAATGAGACAAATGTTTCCTATATTCCCTTTTTCAAAATTTCCGCTCTCCTATATCTTCCTACATTGTTCTCTGCCTACATGCTGGGTCATCTAATTTCAGGCCTTTTTGTTTTGGACCTAGTTACTTTGAAATCTAGGGGACAGCCCAGCATATCTCTTCAGGTAGAAGTGGGACTGGGATCCAAGTTTTGCCACAGCTGAGATCAGCGACCCAGATTATGGAGGATCTCTGTTTTGAATGTGCCTTCATGCAACACTGTATTGGTGGTGCTTCACTCTACATAGGTCTACCTGGTTTGTTTGTTTTTTTTTGGAATAGCATATTATGGTTACATGAAAACCACCTCTGATGGCTTTTGTTTTCTAGGCCAATAGAGATTTCCATTCTATCTATTTGAAAAACTGCTTAAAGCTGCAGTTGACAATTTATGAATTTGTTTAAACTTTAAACTTTAATATGATTCAATAATATAGGGTGAAAAACAGTGGATTACTCTTCTGAAATATTTGCAAGAATATAGCATAAGTGGAATATTTTAATGTTGTACTAATTTCAGAGGTGATGGATATCTATCCAGTTCCATAATGCTGTCATAAACAGAGCAGAGTGACAGGCTGATTGGATTGTAAGGCAAATCCATATTTTGAGATTGGGTCATAGTTGAGGTTACATTCGAAGCAAAGCTGACTGGATGTTTGAGGTAGTTACATTTAACCCTACTAGCAAAGATCTTTATTACATAATAAGTGCAACAAAATTAATTATTGGTTAATGACTCTATTGAATGAAATCTCATTATCATTTTGTTTTAAAAGTGCAAATTGTATTCGAGGAGATGGATTACTCAAGTTTGCAAAGTTACTTCTGACCTCTGAATCGGAACTACCTGGTGGTCTGAAGCTGAAGGAATTAAACATAAGCGAGAACTTGTTCTTCAGAGAGCCCGCACTTACTCAGGAAGCACTTGAACTCTTCAAAAACAGATGTCATGTAATCACAATACAGTCTCTTACTGAGCCATCGCAAGCATTTGCTGACTACATCAGTGTAATGTAGACATTCCAACATCCAATGGCCTCTTTCTGAACTATTATAAATTGGTAATTTCAGAGCTTGTGATTATTTTACTTCATTTACATCCTGAGCCATTCTGATTATTGCAATTGGAATGTCTCCATTTAATTGATACAGGACTGAATGCAGCTCCAAGAAAAATAAATGTCAATCGTGTACTTAGAAAACCATAATTCTTTCTTCCTTGGCTGGCTTAGGATCCAAACTGGTCCAGAGCACCAATGGCAGCATAAATGATGGGCTACTTCATATCTTTGTATGTTTTTGGGAGGGAAAATGAGTTATGCAATTGGACTGTATTTCTCAGTTTTTATTAGAAATTATTGGAATTCATTTTTAGTGTAGCATTTTGTACTACGTATTTCATTTTTTGTTCTATTTTTGAAGGAAACTGATGGGCTATCCTCTTGAGGGTGGGTTGACAACCATTTGACAACACGTTGAGCTACAGTGTTAGTTAACTAACTTCTGATCCCCTAACATTGTTTTCTAGATCATGTTTTAGTATTCCAATTATTGTGAAGCTTTGTTATGTCATAAAGTTCTTTTTGCTCAGAAAAATGGTTGGTTGGTTTGTTTGCTTGTTTGTTTGTTTACACAAACATGATTTAAGATTAGCTTTGCATAGCCTTTGTCATGGCTGTATAACCTGTATGATGAATTGACTATTGGATCACAGCTTCATATGCATCTCGCCATCACAGACACCTGTAAATGAGACAGACACAGTGAACCTTGACACTGAGAGCAGTGACCTCTGGAGGCTAACTGTTTGGTAGGGCAGTAGGAGAGGGAGCAAAAATTGAATGAAAACATAGGCCCAAAGAAAAGAGACCAATGTATCTTGCCCCTACTCAGCCCACTGTCTTCCTCCGCAGCAAATAGGCAGAGATTACCATACCAGAATGGGCTCTTCAACTACACCAGGCAATACTTGAGTGTTGACTGTCTTCCATCTCATTAGATAAAGATGATCAGAATATATAATCCACCCTATATCGTTAACTAAAAGCAAAATTCAATGAAAAATGCTGGAGAAATGCAGCAGGTTTGGCAGAATCAGTGAAGAGAGAAGCAGAGTTAACATTTTGAGTCTAATGTGACACTTCTCTGCAACTGTAACGTTACACTTGTAATTCTGTGAAACAGTTACAAAGATTCTGCTTTTGGATAATCTCAGCCATTAATAATAAAACAAAGTATGTTTACAGTGAACTGGGAAAATCTGAGGAGTTCAAAAGTAAATTTTTGATGCAGAATCACTTTATAAGAGGCTTAAATGCCATGAACAAATGAAAGGGAATTAGACAATGTAAAACTAAGAAAAACACAAATGCCAGAAAAAGCCCACATGCTTTTGAATGAGAGATATAAAGAAAACCACAAGGTAGCAAAAAGTTAGTTAAAAATTGCAACAGTAAGTAGCAAGTGCTATCAAAATTGAACAAAGTCTTTTATTATTGGGCAAATCTTGTATGGTCTCTTATGGTATAAGCCTCTGAAAACTGTTATCAGTGAAAATCAAGAAATAGTGAATAATATCAGTGTTTACAGAAGAAGACAATATGACAGCCATGCCAAGAAAGCATTGAATTAAGGAAGAGAATTTACAAAATTATTCAGCAAGTACCAATAATCTAGCTAACTGAAAATGCTGGGCAGGTCAAAGTTTCTTTTATTTATTCATGGGATGAGGGTGTCACTGGCTAGGCAGCATTTATTGCCCATCCCTAATTGCCCAGCGAGCAGTTATGAGTAAACCACATTGCTGTGGGTCTGGAGTCATATGTAGGCCAGAGCAGGTAAGGATGGCAGTTTCCTTCCCTAAAGGAAGGGCATTGCTGACTGCTGCAAAAATCCATCTGGTTCACTAATGTGTTCATGGTCATCATTAGACTCTTAATTCCAGATTTTTTTTTTATTGAATTCAAATTCCACCATCTTCCATAGTGGGATTTGAACCCAGGTCCCCTGAACATTATCTGGGTCTCTGGATTAACAATCCAGCAATAAGACCACTACACCATTGCCTCCCCAGTAGAGAGAGAATAGTTAATGTTTCAGTTTGATGATAGCATGGATTTGAAGAGATTTTTTTGAAGAGTAACTAAATTGGAAGGGGGAAAGGCAATAGAGTTTATTTAATTGATGGTGTACAAGAAGGTATTTGATAAATTTTATCATAAAAGATTTAGCTAAAGTTGAAGTTCATGGCATTGAAGGCAAATTGAGAAATTGGCTGAATGGCAGGACACAGTAGTGCTAATTTCAGGAATGTGATAAGTGGTATCCCATAAGGATTTGTTTTGGGGCCTCACTGTTCATTGTATTTATGAACAGTTTAGAGTATGTGATAAGTCACATCAAATTTCTCCGTTACACATTGTAAGCAGCATAAATATTAAGTATATTGGCAAAACTCTGGTAGTTCAATTTCATTTGCAGAAAAATGGCAAAATACTTTGTATTTTTAAAAACAAAGGATAAAGCAAGAGAGTAAGAATTCAAAGGGTCAGTAGCTATGTTATAGCTGTGCAAAGTTGGTAGACTGCGGCTCTGGAGCACTGTAGCAATTCTGACATTTTAGGATATGTTAGCCTTGAAGGGAGTGCAACATGTATTTACCAGACTGAAGCATAGTCACCAAGATTTTAGATGGAGAGATTGCACAAACTGTGGTTATAATCCCTGGAATTTAGAAAGTGGTTATCAGACTAAAACTTGCAACGTAATAAGGGAACATGTACTCTAGAGAGATTTCTACAGTTTTGAGGAGTCTAGGACTAAAGAGCATAGTGCAATAATTGGAGCCACACCTTCCTGCAATGAAATTATGAAACTCGTCCAACAAAGGGTAGTAGGAGTTTGGACGTCTTCAGCAAACAGCTGAAGGTTGCAGGAACAGCACCTCATTTTTCGCTTGGGAACTCTGCAGCCCAATGGTATCAATGTGGACTTCACCCGACCGCATCCCAAAACCAGCCCAGCTCATCCCCACCTCCCTAATCTGTCCTTCCTCCCACCTATCCATTCCTCCCACTTCAAGCCCCACCCTTATGTCCTACCTACCAGCCTCATCCTGCTTCCTTGACCTGTCCGTCCTCCCTGGACTGACCTATCCCCTCCCTAACTCCCCACCTACACTCAACTTTACTGGCTCCATTCCCGCCTCTTTGACCTGTCTGTCTCCTCTCCACCTATCTTCTCCTTTATCCACCTTCCCCTCTCTCGCTATTTATTTCAGAATCCCCTTCCCCTCCCCCATTTCTGAAGAAGGGTCTAGGCCTGAAACATCAGCCTTCCTGCTCCTCTGATGCTGCTTGGCCTGCTGTGTTCATCCAGCTCTACACCTTGTTATTTCAGCAAATAGCTGTTGATATCAGACCAATTATTAATTTTAATTTGGTGACCAGCATACTTTTGTTCACCTAAGTTTAAGAGTTTGAGGGTAAAGGCAGGTATATAGAGTTGATTTCAAATCAACCATTGTCTTATTGAATGGTGGAACAGGCTTTAAGGACTAAGAGATAAAATTGTACTAGAAGGGATGTGGAGACTTCTATGAGGTTTCTGCCTGAACTGAAAAATCTTACTTTGAGACATTTTGGAGAGTTTAATTTCTTTTGTTTGGACGGAGACTGAATCAAGGCATAAAATTGAATTAATTAAAATAGTGAGTCTAGATCGAGTGGGGAGGAAGGCCTTGTTTCACTTGGTTGATGGGTTCATGACCTAGGAGTATAAATTGAAGATAAGAGGTTGAAGGTTCAGAGGCAATTCCTGGGCAAATATTTTAAATCAGACGGTGATGGGGATCAGAACTTACTGCCTGAAAGGTAGTAGAGACAGAATCCCTCAATATTTTAAGAATATTTTGATATGATTTAAAATATGATTCAGTTGGATGATTGTTTTTATGTTGAGCCAAATGTCATCCTTGTCTTCTGTGATTCTAAGTGGCCTCCTCCTGTGTCTATGTTCTTCACAGTGGCAGTGACTAGCTCAAATGTAACTTGGAGACACAAGAATCATTTCTTTTGTTATTTCACTTTCAAATAAAGAACCATAGAATGGTCACAGCCCAAGACAAGACAATTCAGCTCAATGAGTCTATGTTAGCTCTCTGAAAGAACAATTTAGTCCCACTTCCTCAAATTTTTCAAAGTAGCTCTGCAATTTACTTTTTCCTTCAGGTGTTTATCAAATTCCCTTTGAAAGTCATGATTGAATCTACCTCCTCCACCCTCATTCCAGATTCCAAAATATTCACTATACAATAAAGATTTTCCTTTGTGTCTTCACTCCCGCAATCATTTTAAATCTGCCTCCTCTCATCTTAGCTCTTCTACCAATGGGATCTGTTTCACTCCATCCAGACCCTCAAGATTTTGAATACCTCGATTAAGTCGGTTTTCTGTTCCCTGGGGAAAACAGCTTCTCCTATTTATCATCTTAACTAAAGTTTGTCATCCCTGGAGCCATTCTTGTAAATCTTTTCTGTACCTGTCCTAAAACCTTTATGACCTTTCTTAAATGGTGCTGCCCAAATTTAAGCTGAACCAGTGTTTATAAAAGGTGGTTCATAATTCACTTTTATCCTCTATGCCTTCACTTATAAAGCTCAGGATCCTTTATGTCTGTTTATTCTCAAACTGCCCTCCCACCATCAATAATTTGTGTATATATACTCACAAATCTAGCTCCGACATTATTTTAGTTTGATACACTTTCTTTGTAGTTTTGTTTTGTTACAGTGCCTTATTAAGGACAGTTCATTCTTAGGGTTTTTTTTTCAGTTTGTTGTAAAGAGTATATCCGTAGATCTGTTTCTATACCTACTTTAGAATCGTATCCTTTATATTACATTGCTTCTCTTCATTCTTCCTACCAAACTCTTATTTCTCGCAACTCAGCACCAAATTACATTTACACAATATCTACCTGTTCAATCAGCGTGTCCATGTCTTCCTGAAATCTATCACCACCCTCCTCATAGTTCACAATACCAAGTTCAACATCATGTTCAAATTTTTGAAGTTGTGCTCTCTATATGAAAGGCTGGATCATTAATAATGAGAAAAAAATCCATGATGCTCAAGTATGCCAAAACTGGAAATGATCTTAGCATCTTTTGTGAGTCCTTGTGACTGAAGACTCTGCAAGTAGGACCGCAGAACTGGCAGTTCATACTGTCATTTTTGGTGCTTGGGGGAACTTCTGCAGCTGCATCAACTTTGGATACTTTGAATGTTGTGTGTTTGGCACAGATGGTCCTTAACTTTCTGAACTAAATTTTACAGCTGGCTTCCGTATATTTGGCCAGCTGCAAGGTTTCCCAAGAGAGGTGATCTACAATGCAGAAGTTGTAAGGCTTTTTTACGTGTCGTTTATATTGTTTGTACTGATCACTTTGATGCCATTTAACCTGAATATTTCTCATAGGAGAGACGAGTGGGGCCAGAATGTATGGAGTTTAGTACTCTTCTGACAATCAGTTTTTCAGATGCTCAAGAACTTAAACCTTTACACAAACTTACCTTTCTTTTGAATTCAGGAAACGTTCTGCCTTGTGCTTTGGAAGTCTCTGATTGCATTGATAATAATACGTATCTAGCATTCTCAGCAACTAATGTAGGGTGAAGCCTGAATTTTTGTGTTCTTTGATATTTCTATCTTTACAACACCCTGTTGTACAGTTAAACAGGAAGGATGCTTATTATGGCAAGAGAAGACATGAATGAATAAGGTATGATCAGCATGTTCACAGATAATACATATTTATGTTGTGGTAAATGGCAAGGAAATCCGGAGACTACAGCCTGTGTATATTGCTCTGAACAGTGGCAAAAATAATCTAAATTAATGTGTGAGGGGATGTATTTTGGGAAGACTATCAAGGCAACGGCGTTTGCATTGTATTTCCAGTGTCTTACCATTTAGCATATCAAAGGGACCTTGGTGTGCATGTCCACAGATCCTTGAAGGGACCAGGACAGGTAGATAATGTAGGTGGTTAAGGAAGCATATGGGATGCCTATCATTATTAGCCACTGTGTAGAAAGACATAAAACTGACCTCCTGAAGCCTTAGCCAGACATATTGTCAGTCCTCCCTCTGCTCAGCCTGTCTCCAAAAGGAGAGGAAAGGTCACTCCATAGTGCTTTAAATCAAACGAAAATAATTAAAAACTACAACTCCATTAAAACAAAATGAAGAAAATATTTACTACTGAACAACGATAATGTACATTTTCCAGAGACCAATATTTCTCAGTAACACATATATCATCTATCGTTGCACAGAACTACTTAAATTGACAGATTTATAGATGCATCATCTTTACGGGTTATAGAATTAATGTAAACTGGCTTTTTGAGGACAAAGGTGACAGTCAGGAAAGACGGTATTAGATACTCAAATTGACTTAATTGTCAAATCAGAATTATCTCAAAGGGAAACTGAATATACTGTATTCCACACTTGAGTGCCACTGATTTTCTCTGTATGTCAAAACTTAACAATGCCTTAAGCAATATTTACAAAAACAATTGAAAAAACACTCTTCCCCATTCACAGAATAGATTGTAAATCTCCTCTGCGTAATATGCTGTCCAGTGCTTCACATTCTATTACAGGGAGAAGTCTCAGTAATATTTTAAATGAAAATAAACAACATCCAAGAGCATTTGCAGGAGTGAATATTTTAACCACAAAAACAAAGCAGTGGTGCTTCAATTTACAAATATCAGTTGAAGTCAAGGTGGATCGAGAAGCCTGCTAATGCTCATTCACATTCCAGGTTCTCCACTGAAAGCACAGTACTGTCAAATCTGTATTTCAATTAGACTTGGCAGGCATGAAATTCATTTCATGCACGGTTGATTAACAAGTCATTTTTCACTACAATTTTGTATCTGCAATTGTCCATTTTAGATAACTCCATGCTGTTGCTCATGTGAGTGGTGATGAAACACAAAGGAAACTGCAGCATCCCAAGCAGACTGAAGGACCATGTCTCGTAGTCCACGTTTATCTGCACAGTGATTCCACTGAGAAAGATCTGAAGTACAATCGGAGCCCTCTGGAGGACCGCGCACCTGGTGTCCATTTACACAACGGCGACATTTCAACCTTTAGAAAAGAAACAGGTTGTTAATCACATTACACTGAGTTTCTGATAGAGACAACTAATGAATACACAAACATTTATAAAGCTATTGCAGTTTATAATTTAAGGTAATAATAGACATTGTTCTGAATTGGACAATGACCGACAAGGCACAGTTCATCCTTTGGTCAGCTGCCCTGAGTTCTCCATTTAATTTTAGTGTCGTATGCCATGACCTCAGTGCTGCAGGTTCAGATTATGATTAAGGATCCCAGATGAACACATCAGAGGATCTCAAGTTGAGGATGTGTCACTTCCCATAGGCAGGGAAGGGGAAACAATAAAGTCCTGTGGAATGCTAATACAGCTTTAAGAGCTGGGATGCTTGACAGTTGTTTTTGTGTTAAAAATGTGAGGTACAGATGTGCTAAGGAAAGAAAAATAAGTATAATGAAATCTCCATCGGGGTGCTTTGCATTTTCCTCTCTATTAGCTCGTCTTTCCCCTTATCAAGTGTGCACTTAGTTTAATTAAGTATCTTTTTGGATAAGTCATATCTTTTTTGTGGGAAGATCTGGGTCACCTGCACTTACTCTTCATAGGCCTCAAACATAAGAACAGGTTCAATATCAATCAATACACTGCCACATTTCAACCCCTGTAATCATTAAATTTTCTTGAAATTATAGATTTGAAAATAGCTGCTGCTCATGTCATGTTTAATAATTACCTATCATGCGTATCACTGGCTGTGGTCTCATTTAGAGTAAAGAGCTCCTTAAGTTCTCCAAGGGAGAAATGTCGTTCAACATCTTGCTCCTCATCCACTACACAGCTACTCAGAGCCTTTTTATGAGTCTGACGCTGGAAGATCTTCTCCTCAATTGTCCCCGTCTGAAATATAACAAGATACTATTGTGATAAGTTATCATGTTTGGTCCGATTTGATTGATTAACTCCATTTGCATAATGCATTATCATTTCACAATCTCTAAAAGTTCTTAACAGAATTAATTAGTTTATTTGAGTACTGAGTCTTTCTTTCTACTAAAATCATAGTTTTCCATATGTTTAGATATTAACATCTGATCGGATACTCCATATAAACAAATACAAATTCTTCAAAATTAAACACACAAATAAAGCACAAGTCGAATATTTTCTTTGCCAGAATGTATGTTATGAAATGGCTGCTACATAGGAAGACTCAAAACTTAATAAGGGATCACCTTATTTCCCTTAATAACATATTGTGAAGCAATGAAATAGTACCCAATAGCGCCTGCTAATGGTATGGCCTAAAAACATTTTAAAAAGAGAAATAAACATAATTAAATGCACCTCAACACCTCTTCAGGATGGTGAATGCTTTGTATCAATAGGTTACTTCTGAAATGCATTCACTTTCTTTAAGCGGGCAAAAAGTAGTCAAATAGTGAAGATCCACAAACAGCAAGAAATAAATGACCGGAGTTCACTTAAAAAGAACCTCAATTCACAATGTATCACTCTCCGTGGAGTGTTAAAGATTTAGTCTAGATGCTTAAATCCTAGAGTGGGGTTTCAACCCACAATCTTCCAACTCAGAAATGTGTGCACTAGTAAATGAGTCAAACTGATACGTGAAAGTAGGAATAAGACAGGCCAATTGAAAAAAAATGTATACAAGTATTATTCATTTGCTTAAATACATTATTCACTAGAATGATTTCTAGTTTGACTTATGAGAAGAGATTGAACAGTTTGGCCCATACTGTCTTGAGTTTAGATAAATGAGAACTCTAACTATATAAGATGCAAAAAGGGGATTGATAAAGTAGACTTAGAGAGGATGTTTCCTGTTGTGCGGCAATCTAGAATGAGAGGTCATAGTTTTAGGATAAGGAGTATAGGATTTAAACCAGAGACATGGAAAAATTATTTCTCTCGTGAATTCACTATCCCAGAGTGCGGTGGATGCTGGGACAGAGTACATTTAAGGAGATTGACAGATTTTTAATCAATAATGGGTTGAAGAGTTATGGGCAGGAAGGTGGAGTTAAGACTGAGATGAGATCAGTCATAACTGTATTGAGTGGTAAAACAGGTTCAAGGGGCTGAATTGCCTACTCCTACTCCAGGTTGTTATGATGGTCAATCAATTTGATACCTACTGTTTCTTCTTATATCTAAATTACCTATAACAACTTTTGGAAAGATATTCAAGAGACTAGGTCTGGTCATTAAGCGGAGCTCTCAGAAAGTAGTTGACCCAATTATAGATTTGATTGAAAACGTTTGAGGTAGACTGGGTCAGAAGAAGTTGCAAGAAAAGGACTGCTTTTAAACATTACTTGCAAAATAGGTCAGTGTTGAAATTTGTCTACCTGAGTGAGACATAGATAAAATCACTATATCGGGTTATTTCTTTTAAGCTCAGGGTACCAAGCAAACGAAATGTGTTTACCACTTTCAGAGACTCAAGTGAGAACTTGGAGGTATACAAAAGCCAACATGCTATATCAGTTACAAGGAGTAGATTTCTACTCCCCAACATCTGAATGTCAGAGCAGACTTTGTTAAAAATGTACAGCAAATTAGAATTCACCCGAGAGAGACAGAAAGAGAAGTATGAAAGCCAAAATAAAGAGAAGATTAAAAGATCTAAAATACATACTTTTATATATGAAGACAGATTTTTGATTTACTTAAAATTCGTTAATCAGTGTCCCAAATTTCTATTTAGAATTCAATCCAGTGAAAGAGGACACATAAATCCCTATCAAGAGTGAAATAAAATATTTGTTTTTTTAAAATCTACTACTTTACTTCAATAAAGAACCTAATGATAATGGTTTTAAATTTGAACACTTTATTGAGCAAGGATTTATGCAATATTTGTAGTTCTTTAGTTCTCTGATACCTCATGAGTCTCAGGAGGACTAATGATTATCACAAGAGTTTCTGCACTTCCTTCAGTACTTGGATGCATCTCATCCAGTTTGATATCTTATCAACTAAATACATAGAGCTTATTTAGTAGTTTTAAACCCTACAAGTGCCTGAACCATGTGCCCTTTCACTATAACTTTACCAAGGAAGGAGATTCTGCTCAAGTCAGATGAACACTCTTCCCAGTCTGCCTCACAGTGATCCTGACCTGCTACACACACCAGTCTGCTTAACAATGTGATCCTGACCAGTTTCATTCTTGGCCTGACATGCAAACCACTTGACTAAATTAGTGCTTCAAATTTACTTCCTGGCCTTTATCAGATAAATGCAACATTTTAAGATCGTGTATCATTTTGTGAACAATATCTAAAAGTAAAGCAGAATCTTACCGACAAAAGCCTGTAGATGTAGCACATTTTCTTCTGTCCATCTCGCCATATACGAGCCATTGCTTGTTCATCATTAGCCGGATTCCAGTCAGGATCAAACATGACTAACCGGTTTGCACCAATCAGATTCAAGCCACAACCACCAGCTTTGCTACTCAGCATGAAGATAAATTCAGGATTCTATAAGAAAATTAAAAACAAAACCTTTGTAAAACTAATATTAAAATTGAAAATGTATAATTCAATTTTATATCATAAGTATATCAGCAGGAATTTGTGCACATTTTACTTGGAGATACTTTGAAAAGAAGCATATGAGAAAATCTTATGTGCAACCATTGTTAACAGTCAAACGGTTTGACTAATGATCTAAAGTCACAAAAAAGCACAACAGTGATCTCTCATGGAGAATCCCAGCTGAGAAAAGATAATGAAGACAAGACCACGTGCTAAACGTGTGAGCAGATATCACCAATTTTAACCGAGAAAACTGCAGATGCTGTGAAGCATAGGCAAAAATAGAAATTGCTGGAAAAGCTCAGCAGGTCTGGCAGCATTTGTGGAGAGAATCAGTGTAAATGTTTTGGGTCAAATGACCCTCCCTCAGAACCTGCTGAGTCTTTCCAGCAATTTCTAATTTTGTCACTAATTTTAACACTGGCTAAGCCTAATTTGTCACGATTCTTTCACTCAGCTTTCTAATCTTTACACATCCTGCTAACTGACAAAAAAAAGGAAAGACTACTGGAAATCAAGATTTCCAAGAGTCAGCTACTTGCTAATTTCCTTCCCCTTCAAATACTGGAATTTTAATTATAAAAAGCAATAGCAAGGTAGGTCCAAAGTTTTGTCTAACAGCTTGTATCCCTCTTGTATTGGTAGAGAGTTAAGAAAAAAGTTTCTTTGCTCCATTTCTTTGTGTAGCTGCTCCTTCTCCATTTTCCTTTTCCTCCCTGCTTCAATTCTCTGGTGGAGATGTCAGCATTCTTTCCTGTCTGATTCAAAGCTGTGTGGTTTCAAGCCCAGAATCTGAGCACATAACCTGGGAAATGTTTCAGTTTCATCAAACTATGAAGTGGATTTGGAGGCAATGGAAAGGGTGCAAAAAACAATCACAGAAATACCACTAGAAATCCAAGATTATACCTCATAGGAAAAGGTGAGAAACAAAGCTGAGGAGTTACCCAATATAGATCTTTACAATTATGAAAAGCTGTGATAGAGGATATACATACAGCACTTCCAATGTCTTAAGTTGAAGGCAATCATCAAGAAATTCAAAAGGAAATTCAGAAGAAACTTCTTTACCCAAAGGTGGTGAGAATATGGAACTTGGTAACAGATGCTGAATGAGGTGAATGGTGAAGATGGGTTTAAGGGGAAACTGGATAAACATATGAGGGAGAAACAAATAGAGAATCATGCTGATAAAGTTAGATGGTGAATGATGGAAGGAAGCACAAGTGGAGGATAAATATTGGCATGGAATGGTTGGAGCTAATGCTCCCTTTCTGTGCTGTATATTCCATGTATGTAACTACATTGTCAGAAATGCTTTCTGTTAGAAGAGATGTGAAACCAGCTGTGGTGGATATAAACAATCCAGTAGAAAGATTCAAACAACTGCAGAGTTTTCTTGTTTTCTGGCCAACTGTTGGCCCTTAACCAAGAAAAATTAATTGGTCATTCATCTCAGTTGTGGTTTGAGGGACTTAAATATGAGAAAACTGACTGACTGTCATACTTATCTATATATTTTTTAAAAAATGAACTTCAGAAACAGTTCATGGCTGTGGAGCACATTAAGACATCATGAGGTTGTGAAAAGATGCTATAACAATGCAAGATCTTTATCTTTTTTCCTTCACTGAGATTCTAGTTCTCCAATTCTCTTTTCCTTTATTAGTATTTATTTTTATGTTTCATTCCTCCTCCCATTTCTTTGATGAGTGGAATGGTAGCATAGTTACATTAATAATCCTCTGGAGACATGAAATCAAGTCCCACAAACGCAGCTGGGGGAATTTAAAATTTGATTATTTAAATCAATCTGAAATAAAAAAAACAAACAAACAGTCTCATTAACAATGATCATGAAAGCACCGGATTGTCATCACAAAAACTCATCTGGTTCACTAATGACGTTCAAGGCAGGGAAACTCCCATCCTTGCCCAGTTGGGCCTGTATGTGACTTCAGATCCACTACAATGTGGGTGACTTTTAACTGTCCTCTGAAATGGCTTAGCGCACGTCTCAGTAGCATCAAACTACACAGAAAAACACACTGTGGGTTTACATCACATGCACTGCAATGGTTCAAGGAAAGGATTCACCAGCAAATTCTCAAGGGCAATTAGAGATGGGTAATAAAGCTGGCTTTGCCAAATATTTAGATCCCATGAAAATATTAAAAAAGCTATAAATATTTCTAGTTTATCACTGCAACATTTTGTTCCCTTCACTCCCTTTCCTGCAATTTAGAATGATGGGTGGGAAGAAAATTGCAGGCAGTTGGAATAGATATACAGTCAGACCAGATGATGAGGAAGACCAAATACTATAGCAGTAATAGCACCATGCCAAATAAGAGCACTGATTCAAATCTTTCAGCACAGCAATTGTTTAAGAATCGTATGATAAATTTAGGAAATTTAACTAGATAATTATCACACACTTGCAGGAGTTGCCTCATTTAAAAAAAAACTTATCCTTGCTAAAAAGTATTCAAAATATCGCTTCTTTTGAATTTACAAGGGTTGCTCTGCTTAATTTTTGAGTGCAAGGAAAAATACCAATTTTATTGCAAATAAAACTAGCTAGTACCCAACATCTCAATGTGCCTGTGTGGTAATTATGTCACCGGAATCAGCTGACCTTGAATTAATTTTAGTGAAATAAATACTTTTAACCACAGCTCCATTTTACTAATGTGACATTTCCTTACAAAAGGAACCTGATGGCTTGAAAATACTGAATCTGTAACACCACACCAGCCTGAAACAGGATGTAGATTAGCTTAATGTTTATTTAGCATCAATTATAGTTATCAGGGGCTTACTAAGTGTCAATAGATAGATATTTCACCATCTTCTCATTAAAACCACTGTATCTAGATAAAGCAACTTCATATGTTGTTAAAAACCAAAAGAACTGTGGATGCTGTAAATCAGGAACAAAAACAGAAGTTGCTGGAAAAGCTCAGCAGGTCTGGCAGCATCTGTGTAGAAAAACAAAAAAAAAAATCTGAATTAACGTTTCAGGTCCGGTTATCCTCCCTCAGAACTCTTGCTTTTCCAGCAACCTCTGCTGTTGTTCCATATATTGTTACTGCTACATTGCTTTCAATTTAAAGTTGTATGGTGCATTAGCTCCAAGCAGAGGAATCAGGAATTATCGAAGGTTAATAAAATGTTGCAAAAGACTGTCACTTACTGTGGGATTATTAAAACGTTCCACAATTTTGGCCCTCTTTTTTACTGTCATGGTACCATCCAATCTAACATACAGGTATCTGACAAAAGGAAAACATTGAAAAGTTACACATTGCTCAGGAAGAAACAAAAAAAAACAACAAACAAACATTCATCCTCTCATTTGGAGAGGGTATCAACAGACATCTGCAGTGTGATCTGTAAAACAACAGCAAGTAAAAACACCTATCTTGAAACAGACATAAACCAAAGGGATACTCTCAGTTTTAATAACACACCGTATAATTTATAAATTCAGTAACTAAAGCTGTAATCTAGAAGCAAAAATATATCAGGTTCTGGGTCTCGATCACCATTATTACTTGTTTGCCTTTATTGCCTTGCCATTTAAAATAAATTATTTCACTGTAATCCTTAGTAACTTTTAGTATCCCTCAATCATCCTTGAAGGTTTCAGCTCAAATACTCCATTGTTGAATCAAACCCTCTTATTATTGTAATAGAACATATATATGTACAAACACACAAATTAGGAGCAGGAGTAGGCTACTAGGCCCCTCAAGCCTGCTCAACCATTCAATAAGGTTATGGCTGATCTGGTTACTCCACATTTGTGGTACCCATAATAACCCTTCATCCTCTTGGCAATCATGAGTCTATCTACCTCTGCCTTAAAAAATATTCAAGGACTCTGATTCCACCGCCTTTTGAGGATGAGAATTCCAAAGACTTAAACATGCTAAGGAAAAAAAAAAAAAAAAATCTCCTTTTCTTGGTCTTAAATGGGGAGAAAACCTCCCTCTGAATCCACCCTGGCCCTCTTGTAGTACAGTAGTAATGTCCCTACCTCTGAACCAGGAAGCCTGGGCTCAAGTCATACCTGCTCCAGAGGTGTGTAATAACATCTCTGAACAGGCTGATTAGAAAAATAGTTAAATCCACCCTCTCAAAACCCTTCAGGATCTTATATGTTTTATTAAAGTAATATTATCTTTAAATTACCATGAGAAATAGTATTTTCTGCAGGTTTATTTTTAAACTCTGTCAACTTTTCTTCTCATTTGCTTTCCCATTTTTGTCAGAATTTTACTTTAACACTATAAATCCAAATCCTATCATTTCCATAATCAAGGAAACAATTTGCACTTTGTAGTCCTTTGCACAATTCCATCTTGGTGGTTACCTGTGTGCAGCTGCATCAAGCTGTGCATAGACCCTCGATACACAAACACCAATTGTCACTACATACTGAGGTTCTACCGATCCGATGTGATAGGGTTGGGGTTGGGGTTAGGATTAGGGTAAGCCTGGCTTGTTGCCGCAGAATACGCCAAGATATTGGATCGTTCCGTACCAACTGTCACTCGTGGAAAAATTTGCAAAGGAAAACACCTTTGACCACAATCTATCAGGCAGTGGTCAGTACTAATGTCCTCAAGACCCTGTGGGCAAAGCAGATTATCAAAGTCACTTGGTAGAACACCTCATCACTAGAACTTTCCAACAAGCACCGAGACTTAGCTTGGCTGATGGTGAGAAGGGCACAATGCCTCTGATCCTTCATGTACACCCAGACTGTCTTCGCCACTGCACGCTGCTCTCAAAGCAGCTGCAGTGGGGAAAGAGACCGTCACCCATCTCCTTCTAGAACATGTCTTTGTAAGGAAGGTCTGGAGAGAGATGCAGTGGTTTTTGTCAAGGTTCGTCCCAAGAAGCTCCATGATGCACTCAGAGGCAGACATCGACTGCACCAGGAGGAAGATGCTTTTTGGTCTGCCTGAACCTTTGGGTCTTCCAGTGCAAAGTGTTGATCTTGCCCAAGTGTTGCAGACTGGCACATTCCAAGGTCCAGGACTACATGCCGAGAAATGCACTAAAGCTTGGGGGAACTGTTGCCTAGGTGCAGTGGGGGAAGACCATCTAAGGTCTTCCTGCCAAAGTATCATAGGGGCTCATTCAGTTCTCAGACCAATATACACACAGCTCCACCCACCATGCCTCAAAATGAATGTAAATATTTTTCTTGCATGAGTTAAAAATGCCGGTGTTTTTTTGCAACAGCATGACAGCTTTATGAGATATCAAACTCCAACATGTCATTTGCGTTTCTTTTTTCTCTCTGTAAAGATAATACAGAATGGATTGAGAACTCTTTGTGTGTACTTATAAATAAAACTTTTTTTTTATGAATAAGGTATGTTTTTGCAATAAAAATCAGGCCAAGTTTTCCAGGGTCCCGGACTGTGTACTGAGGACACACTAAAGATTGGGCTAGGTGCTGCTAAGATGCAGTGGGGAAAGACCACTGTCTAAAATCTCTCTGCAAAAGCACCTCCTCGTTTCTCTTAAAGGAACATAAATAGCTTCCTTACATAATTAGAAAATGCTCTATTTTTGCAACTGGATTGAAGCTGTAATGGGGAATGGCAAAATTCCACTATATTTTCTGCAAAGTCTGTATAGACCCCCCCTGTTGTACATGTTTTCTACCTATAGATAATTTATGAATAAAGTATATTTTTGAAAAAAAAAATCAGGCTAAGTTCTGCCATGATATTCCAACTTACTCAAAGCCTCAGCTTGTGTTGCAACGTAAATAGTTTCATGTCATATTTAGTAAAATGTTCCAATTTTGCATTTGGATACAGACAACTAACAGAACAAATGAGAAATGTAAAATGTTTTTATTGTATTAGAACTGTTTGTAATGTACTGACATACTTTATAAAGTATGTTTTTGCAAAGAAAAATAATCAACCTAGATTAGGTACTGAATCTTCCAGAGTTGGACTTGAACATAACCTTCTAACTTAAAGAAAGAGAAATAGCATTGTATCAAAGCAACAATTTTAGAAGTCTTTCAATACTATTCTTTTTATTTTTGTACTGCCCGTTTCTTACAATCCATTTTAAAGATTCAAACCATGTTTTAAAAATTGCCTAGGATTCGTTGAAAATGAGCTCCAATAAAACACGTAACCAAAAGTTTGGTCAAAGAAGAAGGTTTTAAGGACTATCTTACAGCTGGAAAGACAAAGCGATAGTTAGTAGGAAAGGAAACTCCAGAGTTTAAGGTCTAGACAACAAGATGCACAGCTGCCAAAACTATAGGGTTTGTGAAGATTACAAAGTGAGGCAACAGTGAGGTCGTGAATAGATTGGAAAACAAGGGTGGAAATCTTTAAATTAATGCCTGTTGCCGAACTGGTTAACAATATAGGTTAGGGAATTTGTAAAATGAATGGGATTGTGTAAATTAGAATTCAGGCAGCCAAATTTGGGATCAGCCCCCCAAAAGTCAAAAGGTTGACTTCACAAACACCCAAGTGAATACATTTTTTGAGAAGCTTTGTAGCTCGGGTTATGGATGAGGTTGCAGACTTGCTCGCCAAGCCAGTGTATTTGGTTGCAGACATTTCACCGCCCTGCTAGGTAACATCGTCAGTGAGTCTCCGGTGAAGCGTTGGTGTTCTGTCCCTCGTGTTATTTATATGCCTCAGTTTGCCGGGATGCTTGGTATTACTTCCGTTTCTGTTTTTCAATGGTTTGTATAATGGGTCCAGTTCAATGTGTTTGTTGACAGAGTTCCGGTTGGAATGCCAGGCCTCCGGGAATTCCCTCGCATGTCTGTTTAGCTTGTGCTATTATGGATGTGTTGTGCCAGTCGATTTTGTGTCCATCTTTGTCCGTGTGTATTGAGACCAGGGAGAATTGGTCATGTCTCTTGGTGGCTAGTTGGTGTTCATGTATCCTTATTGCCAGTTTTCTTCCAGTTTGGCCTATGTGATGTTTCTCACAGTCCTTGCATGGTATTTTGTATATTACATTAGTTTCATTGGTTGTGGGTATGGGGTCCTTTACATTCGTCAGTAGCTGTTGCAGGGTGGTTGTTGGTTTGATGCTACCCTGATACATAGTAGTCTGAATAGTCTTATGGTCATCTCTGATATGCCCCTGATGTGTGGTAGGGGGACTAGTGTTGTCTGGCTGTGTTGTGTCTTCTTGTTGTGGCCTGTCACGGAGGTAATGGCGGATTGTGCTTTTTGGGTATCCATTCCTTTTAAAAGCTCCATATAAGTGCTCCTATTCTGCTTTGTGCACTTCCAGGTTGCTCTAGTGTGTGGTGGCTCATTTGATGCAGCTCCATTGACAGGTGTTGGGGTGGTTGCTGGTATAATTAAGTACCTCGTCTGTATGTGTGGTCCTTCTGCATACACTAGTCTGGAGTTCCACGTTGTTCTCAGGTTCCATGCTAATGTCCAGGAAGGGTAGTCGTTTGTTGTTCTCTTCTTCTTTTGTGAATTTTATTCTGGTGAGGATGTTGTGTGTGTGTGGGTTTATTCTAGTCTTGTGCGTTTGATAATCACAAAGGTGTCATCTACATAGCTGACCCAGAGTTTGGGTTGGATAGTGGGGAACGCTGTCCGTTCTAATCTTTGTATTACCGCTTCTGCTTTCAGTCCTGATATTGGGGATCCCATTGGTGTTTCGTTGATACTTAATTACACCAGCAACCACCCCAACACCCATAAATGGAGCTGCATCAGGACATTATTCAAACGAGCCACAACACACAGCCACAACCTCGAATTGCGCAAAGCAGAATAGGAGCACTTATAGTGAGTTTTTAAAAGGAACAGATACCCAAAAAGCACAATCCACCATTACCTCCGCGACAGACTACAACAAGAAGACACAACACAGCCAGACACACTAGTCACCCTACCACACATAAGGGACATATCAGAGATGACAAGACTATTCAGACCCCTAGGTATCAGGGTAGCCCACAAACCAACCACCACTCTGTGACAGCTGCTGATAAACGTAAAGGATCCCATAACCATAACCAATAAAACTAATGTAATATACAAAATACCATACAAGAACTGCGAGAAACATCACAAAGGCCAAACTGGAAGAAAACTGGCAATAAGGATACATGAACACCAGCTAGCCACCAAGAGACATGACCAATTCTCACCGGTCTCAATACATATGGACAAAGATGGACACAAAATCGACTGGCACAACACATCTATAATGGCACAAGCCAAACAGAGATATGCCAGGGAATTCCCAGAGACCTGGCAGTCCAACTGGAACTCCATCAACAAACTCATTGAACTGGACCCAATATCAAACCACTGAAACCAGAAAGACCAACCACCCCAGCAAACTGATGCATATAAATAACAGGCGGTACAGAACACCAATGCTCCAATCTGGAGGCGCACTATGTTACCGAGCAGGGTGACAAAACATCTGCAATCAAACACACCGGCTCGGTGAGAAAGTCTGCAACCTCACCCAATTGAATTTTTGACATGATTTTGTAGAATGAGAGAGGAAGCACAATCGAGCGAACTGGTAACTTTCACCTCTGAATCTGAAGTCTGTGGTTTCAAGACCCATTTGCAATCACAGAAGTCGTCATTTTCAGCTAAATCAACGGACTTGATTCTAGGAGCTTTTTTTTAAAATGCGTTCAGAATACCTGGGCTAATGCTCTAGGTTTGGTTACATAATATTACGGTTAAAACTTTGAAAGTTCCTCTCTTATCCACACTACACAAGAGATTGAAAGTGCTTCAATACATCAGCTAGTTAGTTATTTGCAAAGTCAGACAACTTACTTTCTGTCTCTGCAGAGCTTCTCAAACAAATCAAGAGTCTGAGTGTAGTTTGATACCAGCACCACCTTATCAGAGCTAGTACTTCGAGTCATGGCCAAAATATAATCAAGGGTGAGCATCTTGCCTGAAACAAGAGTCAGGAAAACACAGAAGAATTAACAGTATTTTATTAAAAGCCTATTGTCCATCCTGTAGATTTATCACTAAAATTGGAGTAATCTATATGCCGTTCCAGCTTATCTGGACCTGGAATTTCCTCAAGGTCAGATTTACACCTAGGGGAGTAACCCAGGATGAATGTGGGCAGAGTGGCAAAAGGGGTGGAATTTGGTTAATGCAGGTCTTTTTTCTGAAGACAGCTATTTGGAAATTACCTTGGGAAAAGGACAGGTTGTAGTTTTGTTTACCCAGAAGTCAGATATCATTAAGAATTGCACGCGGATACTTGTGCTTCACTTTTCCTGGATGTACTGCAGGTTAATAGAGCATTCAGTACAGTGCAGCAGTACAAGTAGGATCAACAACAGTTGAAATGTTGCAAAAGATAAAGTTCTACCACAGCGAAGTCAGCCTTCCCAAAGGGACACCATTTTTATTTTAGACAAACATGTTTGCTAATGAATATTTATTGAGGGTTCATACTCCAGCTGGACCTAGCCCCAATATCAGTTGGGGTGGAAAAGGTGAGAAGTTAATGTGCTCAAAGTACATGAAAAGTTTAGGAGAGTAAACATAGTTCACTTCTACTAGGTAGTAAATCAGTAACAAAAGAAAGACACATTCAGGATCAGTATTAAAAATGTAAAAATGAAAATTTAGAGGGCTTTTGTCAAAAGGAGTCACAAAAGTATGAATTGACGGTATGGCTAATGAAACAAAAACAAAAATAGCGAGAGAAATTCAGCACGTCTAGCAGCATCTGTCAAGAGCAAACATGAGTTAATGTTTCAAGTCCTGTGGCCTTTCTGGCAACTGAAGTAGTCAAGTACTGAAACAGGGAATTAGATAAATATTTGATAAAAAAAAATTATAGGTCACATATGGAGAGCATGAAAATAGGAGAAGATTAGATACATTAATTCTTGAACTGTTATTAAGACAGATGATGATCCTAATGGCACTAATCCTAGAAAGCATATCAGAGGGAAAAGTACTCAAATTATTGTGCACCAATCTGTTCTCATCAGGAAACAGAGTACCTTTAAGTAGTTTATTTTCAAATGGGTGATTATATCATTAATCTGCAGGACTTTGGGACACACAACTGCACTGAAGAACCACAATACATATTCATTATCAAACATTTTTGTCTAATGAAGAAACAATATTTAATGTCAGGCTTGTGTCAGAGAGTCACTTGTGAGTTTTTGGCTGAATTCGTATTACTTTGCTTCCAAACATGTCCTTCACAAAACTGATGATTAAAGGACATTCCAAGCTGCGGCCTTATGTAAATGGAAGAAATGCACAGAATATTCAGATAGACTCAGGGCACCTGAAAGCATCTTGCCCAAGTCAGCTTTCTTCTAAACAATAATTGTTATCAATCTATTCAATTGTTGGGGTTTGACCATCAAACTAATTTATACTTTTATTTGACCCTCAACATGCAAGTTTTACAGCATAGTAACTGGACAGTTAGTGGGACTGGCAATTCTTTACACAAAGCACATTCTTGAAATGTATTTCAATTACATGCCGTTAAAGAAATCTGACATTTCTTCCAGTTTGAGTTAAGAAAAGATTCTCTCCAAGCTTAAATTTAATAGATTTAGACTTAAAGATTTACCAGACAACTGAGGTTCCACAGATTTTGTGCTATATCCCAATGGAAAGAGATCGAGTGCTCCCTGAAATCCTTCTTCACCTTCCACACATTTCTCATAGATCAGTGTTGGGTCTGGGCCGAAATGACAATAGAGTATTAGGAAAAACAGAAGTGGCAGTTTTCCTCACTTAAAAAAGAATTACTCATTAGCTATCTTCATCCTTTAAGGTGTCACAATACTGCACCATGATTTCAGTACAATTTTATTTTTTAAATCTTCTTTCCTATTCTTTGACTTCCACTATCAGAGGCAAACTACTCCCAGAACTTTGTAGCACAAATGATTGCAGAAATATCTAGTAAACTTATTACCACAACTCTAACTCAACAACCTTGGGAGAGTTGCATCAGCTGTGAATCTTTGCATTCTGCAAACCAGTCAAGTGGGACCATGGTGTATATAAAATTAGCAAATTCAATGAAAAATGTTCTTTATTTTACTGAAACTGCAATGACAGTGCTCTACCACCATGTTCAGTGCTCTTTTGAATCCTCATTCATGCTAAGCTGCTAAGTCTTCCTACTCACTTTGCCTACACTTCATGTTGAAATCAATATTCCTTGTATCACGTCTTCTTGTATTTCATTCTCTTGTAGGCCCTCAAAACCAAAATGTTGTCTTTTTCACAGACTGTCTTCCTGATATAGTAGGTGTCATTTAAACCATCTCTTTCAAACCTTTGCTTTTCATTAAAAAGCAAATTGATCTAAAAACATACATCAGTACAGTATCAATGAACTGAAGCACAACATTTATACTTCAGAAATATGACTTTTCAGACATTCAAATGGAAATACAATTAATTGAAATCCAACAATTTTACTGCTCACGGTTACAAAGCTTCTTTAGTGAAGTAATTGAAGACAGAGAGGAGACACTCATCTTCCCACTGTGAGCTTGTTCCACTTCTAATGCTGGTTTGGCTTGTTTTAGGAACAACTTGTATAACTCTGACTGCAGAGGCGTGAGTCTGAAGAATACAGGAAAATGTTTAATTACAGTTACAGAAGGACATGTGAAAGGAGACGTGCATTTTCACTTAATTATTTCTACACTTACCCCTTGGAGACAAGGTGTACAAAAGAAAATAGACTCCATGACAGAAGCAGCTATCTTCTTAAGTGGGAAACAAATATATTCTATTTGTCAACTTATAGTTGTTACAGCAGAAGGCTTCTCGATTAGCACATGGAGTTATACATGCAGAGTTAAGCTTCCTCAAATTAACTTTAAACATTCCTTTCATGCTCAGGAAATAGAGGTTATTCAGCAGATTCAAGAAAATTGGATTGGAACACCTGTACCTTTTATATTACATTAATACCAATGACAGTGCTCACCATATTCCTGTTTACCAGTAAAGAATAAGGATTACATCAGGTCAATCTTGATCTTGTTCAATGAGAGCAACTTTGGAAGAGGAGTAGGCCAGTTAGCTCCTCTAAACTCTTCTACCATTCAATTAGACCACAGTGATCTACTCCATTACTTGCCTTTATTCCATATGTCTTGAAATCGTAAACACATCTTTTTCAATCTTACACATTTCATTCTCACTCCATCCACCACTCTTCACAAGTGAATATTCCAATTTTTTTTGTGGAAAGCATTAGCCCATTTCTTTCTGATACAGCTTAACTTTAATTTTAGGTCATCCTCTACGCTTTTGAACACCCATCCCCAAAAACTAAAGAAATAAATTTCACTGTGCCTATTCTATCAAATCCCGGAATTATTTTAGAGACCTTGGTTAGACCATTTTCACATTCTAAACAGAAAGTTTGCATAAACATGACTTGTAATCCTAACTTCACAATTTAACTCTTTCAGCTGTGGAATCGCCCTTGTGAATCTTTGTTGCGCATTTCTGCAACCAGTTCATCTTCCTTGAATTCACTGACCTAAGCTCCATGCAGAAACAGAATAGTACCACTGTGTGTCACTGCAGAACACCTTCTCACTTTGATGTTTGCTTAGTTGTCGAAGCTCAGGAATAATTATTCTTTGGCCTGGTTCAGACATGCTGAGTTAATGTGAAGAACTTAAACTGAGACAAGTAGGTAAACTGGTTTTGCACAAAGGAATCTTGATTAAGCAAAGTAAAACTAAATACAATGAAAAATCAAATTTGTGAAACTACCTGCAACAGACAATCTGCTCAATCTTCACTGGCAGGTATTTGGAGAGAATATCTGATGTTCTTCGAATTAAACACCTAAAATGAGTATTTGGGCAATAAGTCAGATCAGCAATCAAACAGTGCATATCCAAGTTAAGACACTGTTTGTTAACCCAGATTTAACCTGAGATCATACATACGTATTAGCAACAAAATAAGGAATTTTTGACACATAAAAATTCAATAGTAAGATGAAGCATACAAGTCACATTTGAACACGTTTCATATCCATAAACTTAAGAACCTATTTCCTCTGAGATCTATCACTAACAAAAACAAAAGAAGTAATACCATGAGAACATCATCAATTCCAAGTCCCTTTTCAAGAAATAACTTATATGTGGATATTTGTTGTCATTCCTTCATTGTCAGAAATAAAATGATGGCACTCCCTAATGCCATTCTGGAATGAATAACAGATGAACTGCAACTTCCCCACTATGTTCTTCTCAAACTATAAGGGAGAAGATATAAATATGACTTTGCCAGTGTCACTCACATCCCAAAAACAAATACAAACAGAAATTTATAGATTACACTGACATAACATCAATAATTCACTTGTCAAATCATTATTTTCTTAAATAGCTGTTTCCTTACCTATTCACAATGCTGATCAGCTCTTTTAGTTTCTCCTCTCCATGCTGTCTTTCACTGTCACTTGCAGCTGCATCCCGGCCCTTCAAGATGGACAATTCAAATCGCTTTTTAAATTCCTGTGCAGTTCCTTAGGAAAAGTTTAAATAATTATTAACTAACTTTAGAATTAACTTGCAATGTAGTGGACCTGCAGGTACTAGATTAATTTTGCAGTCTTTAACGTATCTCATGTTGAGTCCCATACAAAAACCTACCATTCAGTTACACAGCGAACCAGTCACAAGCAGAACTTTGCATCTATGCAAAATACCTACAAAGGTCTAGAGGTCTAATTTCAAATGAAACAGGTCTGTGCAAATCATACAATGGAAACAAATACATACCAAGTATTCCTGCATTAACAAAATGTACAAGACTGAAGTACTCCAGGAGGTCATTCTGGATTGGAGTTCCTGAGATCAATATACGGCGTTTAGCATTTAGATTGTTCAGAGCCTGGTACGTCTGGTTGTCTGAATTCTTTAACCTGTGGCCCTGTGATGTGAACAAAAGAAACCAGAGTATTTTAAAGCTAAGTTTTCATTTGTACAATTCTATTGGGCTTTAAATTGTTTTTACTTTTCAGAATTTGCAAAAGTATAGAAAAATTTAATACTTATCAAATGAAATGTTTATTTTTAGAAAGGCATAGAGCTTACAGTGCACCCAAGCAGTTGTCAAATTTATTTCACACAAGTCTCTGTATCATATGTATAGCAGAATACAATAGAGATACCATATTCCTTGAAAATCCTTAACATCATCTTGCAATCTATTCTCAAATATCTGCACTTCTGCTACGAGTGCACAGCTTACGAAATCTATCGAATCACATGCATACAACCCACAACATACCAGACCTAAATGAAACATTAGCTTTTGCTGCACACTAAATAGGAACCAATACTGAGGCACATGTTATGCATGAATAATCAGTTGTTAGCAATGTGTTCTGAATTTCTCAGCTTGACGTAGAACTTAAGCAAGTTGTGAATAAGAGCTGTTTAAACAATATCCTTGGAACAGAAAGATTTAACTAATGTTACAAAGTCATAACGGGCTGAGGAACAGTTGAAAGGAAGAGCTATTTGTTAACACTGAGCTCAGTGAGCAAGATCATAGATTTAAAATAACTGGTAGAAGGAAGTTGAGCAGTGGGGTCTGAAACCTATAGTCAGAAGGCACAATAGAGGCAGAAATCTTTCATACGTTTAAAAAAAAAATGAATATTGAATTAAAATAATGTTCCTTCCAGGGCTGTACGCCAAGAGCTAGAAATTGGCACTGGGCTGAGTAACCAGTTTTCAGTTGTCAGAGACTCAATGGGTCAACTGACCTTCTGCAATGTAGAAAATTTATGTTTGCAATCAATATAGAAAATCTGTTTCTTTGCAAACATAGAGAGTATGCCTCTGAAAGTAAAGCATATAGAACTGCTGAAGGTATAGTACATCTTAAACCAGAATATAATTTTAAATTTACCAAAGATGGAGAAGTGGAGGATATGGGAACAAGAAAGTAATATTAGGATACGCTACTCATTCAATGTGGGAAAGTAGATACAGTAATGGGAACAAAAACCCTGACATAATTTGATCATTTAAAACCTGATGCAACAAAAGGCCGGGATTGTTAATTTGTGACAAAATAAAAACGTAGGAATTAGAAGCAGGCATAGGCCACTTGGCTATTTGAGCCCACTCCACCATTCAATAAGATCAAGAATCTGTCTACCTCTGCTTCCACTACCTTTTGGAGGAAACGTTCCAAAGATTCATGACCTTCTTGAGAACAAAACAATTCTCTTCTCTCTTAAATGAGCAGTGCTTTATTTTTTTTTTAAAACAAACACTGACCCTTAGTTTCAGATTCTTCCAGAAGAGAAAACATCCTTTCCACATTCACCCTATCAAGATCTTATGTTTCAATTAAGTCACCTCTTAATCGGAATCAAAGTACCTCCCCCAACTGCCTTCCATTCACTATCTTCTGAATTTGTGTTGACAAATGGGGAATTTGGATTCACAGAAGCCAAATTCATCAATATCCTCAAGTTGCCATAAAACTTAAAGGCACAACACACAAGGCTCTGAAAGCTTGTGTCTTCAAATAAACCTATTGGACTATAATCTGGTGTTGTGTGATTTCTAACCTTGTCTACCCCAGTCCAACACTGGCACCTCCACATTAAAATTTCCTAGACACAGTATTTAAAGTGGCACAAGACAGCGGTCATAAATTAGTGACGAACAGTTATTTTTAATAACTTTATAAAAAGCACATTAACATGCAAGGAATTCAAGTTTTCCTAGCTCCCAGGTAGCTAGGTATTCACTTGTTGACAGGCATTCCTTGGCAATGTCCTTCCCTCTCCCTTTTGAGCTGCTCACTTCTCCTCCCCCAGCTTTGCAGCCATTCACTTCTACTCCATCTCTTTGCTAGCCACAACACGCCTCACTCAGCAGACTCTTGCTTGTACGGGCCTCACCCAACAAATTGTCTACATTCCACATGGCCTCATCTACTAGAGTTGTTACCCCATCACTATCAGGCTCACTCTTCCCTACCCTAACCTTGTCTGGCAGACTTACTTCCTACACTGGCAGATTTGTTCTCCCTGTAGGTTTTACCAACCTTGTTCACCACTAGTGCACCTAACAGCAGCAAATACAAGGCGCAGCAGCCTGTGATTACAGGAACTGTGTCTTTCAAAATGTCTGTCACACATACTTGGTGGGGGAGGAACATCTGTTCTTTTTTGTTTGCTCCTGTGGTTCATTTCTCCCAATTTCGCTTATAGGCTGCTTGTATTATTAGTTTATATAGTTATTTATTGTCACTTGTACATCTGAAAATACAGCGAAAAAAATCTATAAATCGCCGTAATCTGCTGCTATTTTAAGTATGGAAATTATAAAAAGAAATAATTAAGAGAAAGTCAAGACAAAGTTTGTTTTTTTGTTCCCTCCATGGCTCCTGGGTTTCTGGAGTGGCAACGAGATAAAGCATCAAGGAGGAAGGACTGGATCCACAACACCTCCATCCAAGGGGAGGCAATGGCCTAGTGGTATTATTGCTGGACTGTTAATCCAGAGACCCAGATAATGTTCTGGGGACCTGGGTTCGAATCCCACCATGGCAGATGGTGGAATTTGAATTCAATAAATATCCGGAATTAACAATCTAATGATGCCCCTGAATCCATTGTCGATTGTCAGGAAAATTCCACCTGGTTCACTAATGTTCTTTAGGGAAGGAAACTGCCATCCTTACCTGGTCTGGCCTACATGTGAGACCAGACCCACAGCAATGTGGCTGACTCTGATGGGCAATAAATGCTGCCTAGCCAGCGACGCACTCATCCTGTGAACGAATAAAAAAAAAAGGACCATCTAAATGTCTGAGGAAATGGAATCACCACACCACCTTCACTGACGCTGAAGCCATTGTTCAAGCTGCGGCCACAAGGAAACGGACTAGATCCACTGCCACAGCAGCACCCCACCACCTCCCTCCTTCACTACAGCCGCAGAAAAGAAGAAAAAAAATGCATTGATACAAAAGGTAAACAAAAAATCTAAAAAAAAAAGGATGCAGCCGAGCTGGAGCAGCAGGTCCAAGAGCCTTTTTTTTTTTCCCAGGGGAGCAATTTCTCCCCTGCCACGACTGCCATCTTGGACCTGCCTCTTATAATTATTAATCACAGAATCCCTAAAGTGTGGAAGCAGGCCATTTGGCCCACTGAGTCACTTTGACCCATTGAAGAGCATCCCACATAGACCAACGCCACCCCCCAACTTACCTCCCATCCTAACCCTGTAACCCTGCATGGCTAAACCACTTAGTGTCCAGGGATGTGCAGGCTATGGGCAATTTAGCATGGCCAATCCACCTACCCTGCACATCTTTGGATTGTGGGAGGAAACCAGAGCACCAGAAGGAAACCCACGCAGACATGGGGAGTATGTGCAAACACCACACAGACAGTTGCCCAAGGATGGAATCGAACCCAGGTCTCTGGTGCTATGAGGCAGCTGTGCTAACCAATGAGCCATCGTGCCACCCCAAATATTAGCAGATACAATTCTAAACTTCAACAGATACAAGGCTGGCCTATCAACCTGTCTTCGTAAGATAACTCAACTATTCAGGTATGACTATAGTAAATCTTGCCTGAACTGCTTCCAATGAATCTATACCTTCCTTCAATAAACAGAACAATACTATACACATTAGTCCAAATGTGGTCTCAATGGCCTGTGTAACTCCAGCATAACCTCCACAATTTTGGATACAAATTCCCTTGCAATAACATCTATTAGTTTTTTTTATTTGCTATACCTGCACACTAATCTTCTTCAATTCATGACCTAGGACACCCACAGCCCGTGGTATCAGAGTGCTGCAATCTCTTATTTAGATAATAATATTTTCTGAAAAACATACTTCCTGCCTAGTGGACAATTTCACATTTTCCCAAATTATTTTTCATTTTCCTGATCTTTACTCATTCACCTAATCCATCTATGGCTTCTGTAGGTCCTCTTCACAACTTACTTTCCTCCCGATGTTGACGGCATCACTAAATTTATGAATCATACGTTTGCTCCCTTCATCAGTCATCATCCAAATCTCTCTGGGACATATTCAAGTCTGCCAAACAGCCTTGCCCTTTTGTTTTGCAATTTTGTGAATTGTGTATCTTCTGTCACATGCATACATTGAGACATAGTTACTGCAAGGAATTTAAGACGCTAAAATGTGGTCGGTCAAGCACCAAATAAACCCAATTTGGACAGATTTCACATTAAACTGCAGCACTTAATTTGTAGAATAACCTGAACGTTATGTTAAGTGGTATTCTACCTCATCACAAATGACCAAGCCGACAGCACCCTTGCAAAGCACATCAGCATGTAGCCGGAACGTCTCATAAGAAATGATAAGAATTGGAGTTGGAATCCGCAACCCACGCTGGTTCATGAATGTGGCTGTGCAAGGGAAAAAAGGATGTCAATGAAATAAAGTCAGTCAGGATATGGATTTCTATCTACAGCAGGAAATTCAATGGATATCTATCAACTTTGAGTATTCTCAAACTCTGAGGTTTATCAGTAATTTCCTACTGTATGATGTTACATCCTCAAAACTTCTTATAATTGGAAAATATATACTTTACCCAAAGCCCTGCTGTTTGTATCCTATTTTACACAATGTTCAACTTATTCATCAACCTTGCTCACCTACATCAGTTCCCAGTTTGCCAGCACCTCATTTTTAAACTCTTCGTCCTGGTGTGTAAACAAGACCTCACTCCTCATTATCTTAGCAAGCTCCTTTTGCCTGAAAGTCTCTACTGTGAACAATTTCATTCATTAACCAATGGGGTGGGGGGTGGGCAGGGGGGGGGGGGGGGGCGTGGGCGTGGGTGTGGGGGTATTTTCACTGGACTGTTAATCCAGAGACCCAGATAATGTTCTGAGGACCTGGGTTCAAATCCCACCACGGCAAATGGTGAAATTTGAATTCGATAAAAAAATCTGAAATTAAGGGTCTAACGTTGATTACTGGAAAAACCCACCTGGTTCACTAATGTCCTTTAGGGAAGGAAACTGCCACCCTTACCTGTTCTGGCCTACACGTGACTCCAGAACCACAGCAATGTGGTTGACTCTTAACTGCCCTCTGGGCAATTACGGATGGGCAATAAATGCTACCCTAGCCAGCGACACCCTCATCCTGTGAATGAATAAATTAAAACGAGGCTGGCTTATCTGCTGCTTTCTGGAATATCATCTTCTCATTGCAGCTTCCAAAAAAATCCACCCTGACGGATAGATGGGATCTTGATTTAACATTTCACCTAAAAGACAGCACACCCTTGGGACTGTCCTCACACACCAGTTAATTCGATGTACATATTCTGATCAGGGGTTCAAAACTACAAGCTGACCCAAAAATGAAGCTGAGCTAATTTGACAAACAATGGAACAAGTACCAAAAACAGTATATAAATTTACCTACCCAGTTTCTGGTCAATTTCAGTCTTAGTGCCTCCATCAATAGACAATGCTTGTAGCCTTCCTCCCAGCCACTTCTCAACCTCATTATACCAGTTTTTCACCAAACTGGAAGGAGTCACAACAATGACTTTGTCAATTTCTGGCTTAGCATCTGGACTTTGACGCAAGAGGGTCCACATCAAGGAAATGCATTGTAATGTCTTCCCCAGCCCCATCTCATCAGCCATTATGCAGCCAAAGCCATCAGAAATACGACGGCCTGTCACACAATCCCACATGAACTTCACACCCTGAAAGATAGACATAATTTAACAATTCTTCACACTAGGCACAGGCAGTAAATTATTTGTGAAAAGATACACATCTATATTCATGATTTTAATCAAATCCTAATCTTAACCTGCTGCCTGATGGAGGACCGAGTTAAGGCCAGGTCTCTGTAATATTGTAAAGTGCCAACCTCGTTCTATGTCCATAGATCCACTTGCAGTCAGGTCATTAATTGCAACAGAGATTTAGGAGCAGGTTGCCCCTGATCATTTTTGTTACAGAGCTTGAGGGGAGTAGAATATTCAGATTTATTCAGTTGTTTCCAGGATTTTTTTTTTTTTTTTTTTTTACTTTTTGTCAACTCTCCACCCAAACCTCCTTCAATGTCATCTCTCTGTGCCAACAAACCTCTGTAGCTAAGAGGATGCATTATTACCAGGTTATAGCAAGATGCTAGAAGATGTGGAGTAGTTGTAACAGGACTAACAATCCAGAATTCCAGACTAATGTTCTGGAGACGTGGGCTCGAATCCCAGCACAGGAGATGGTGAAATTTGAATTTAATACAAATTTTGGAATCTAAAGCTACCCTAATGACAATTTTGTAACCATTGTCATGAACACCCATTTGGTTCACTTTAGGGAAGGAAATATGTCATTCTTACCCAGTATGGCCTACAAATGGCTCTACATGCATAGCAGAGTGTTTGACTTCAAACAGTTACGGGATAGCAATAAATGTTGGCCTGACCAGCAACACCAACATCTCGTGAGCTAGTGGAAAAAAAACCCAAGATCTGTCTGGACCAGTCATGTTAACTTATCGTCACCTTGCAGGGGAGCACTTCCTACTGACAGAATCAATATCAACAACTTACGTACAGGGAAGCTACAAGCACAAGGCCAGATTCATGGCAGTGCAATACATTTCCAAGGATTTGAGGCATCATAACATTTAACTTGGCTTACCAACACTAAGGAACATTAATGACACCCACCAGTCAAAGAACCAACAGAGAAATCCACCACTACATCAGATAGTTACAGTTGGCAAGAAATGTTGGCTAGGCTAGGCTGACAGATCAAGTGTCCTTCAGGAACTTAAGTGGCCACTGTCAAGTGTCCCAGCTTCCACTCTCACCACTCTATCACAATTTTCTGCTCTTGCCGCTTAATGCAAGACCCCATCCTCACTGTTTTGTTCTTGGACCACTCTTGAAACTTGATTCCAGGGTCATACAGTCATATGGCCTATACTAATCACAGTCCTTGTGTTCCCATATAAGGATCGAATTAAGTGATGCTAGTGTTTCATGATTTAAGGTTTTGTCCATTTATTTATGCAGTGAAATAGTTATGTAAATATGCACAGTAGCTCAAAGACTTCTTTTTGTCATCTACAAATGCCATTAACATCAAAAACATTCCTCACCTCTCTCTGATGCGGTCTTAAGACAGAGGACAAGATAGGATCAACCACCACGTGTACTGGAAGCTTCTCTCTGACGGAAGGAGAAAACTCTTAACAGAATTTCAAGAATTATTTTACTTAATTTTGATATTACTACTTAATATAGGGGAAGGGTAGCTCAGTTGGCTGGACAGCTAGTTTGAGTTGCGGAGTGACGCCAACAGCACAAGTTCAATTCCCACACCAGCTGAAGTTACCATGAAGGTCCCACCTTCTCAACATCTGCCCTCACCTGAGACATGGTGGCCCTCAGGTTAAACCACCACCAGCTGCCTCTCTCCAATGACAGAGCAGCTCTTGGGACTGTGGCAGCTTTACTTACCTATCAGACACTTGTCACTATTTTGTTTCTTGTGAATATTTATATATTTTTCTTAATGATATTTGAATGTTTAAAGTTAGCAGTAAAAAGAGCTCTGCAAGGCAATTTTAATACTTTTACGGTCTCAATACTTCAAATATTTTTGTTGCATGAAAGATTTTCAGAACTAATGTTTCCAGATCTATGAGATCAGGTTTCCTTTTCTTATATTTAGAATCCTCTCTTTCCATTCTTGTTTATTTAAAAATCAGTACAACAATTTTAAGTCATTGGGTACAATGCCAATGTCCTGCTCTGAAATTTCTCTACTTTCATTCTCACTTTTTGAAGCAAGATCATTTATTAGAGCTGACAAGAAGAGAATTTTAAATCCACGAACAGTAGTGAATCCCAGCATATTTTTAGGTTTTTGATATTATGACTTCAACAGTTTCAGACTTCATATTTTACATTAGGATTCCCTTTTAAAGATAGCTTCTTCAATTTTTAAAACATTGGTCTTGATATGCCTGGAAGTCTGCAGTAAGGAACAGAACAAACTTTTGTATGTTATTATAACTACTAAAATTAAAATGCGCTTCCACAGGATTACATTTGCACTTTCCAGAAGCAGTAAAACATCATTACATCAGACTTCATTTTAAGATATTATGCAAATTTATGAATAAGGCTGTAACAATGACAACAGGAGCAATTCTTTTATTTTTCTTTTTGAGAGCAGAGTAATAAAAGATTAGAATGCAAATGTTAAGCTACTTAGTTTCTTTTTAGATAGCTGTATAAGCACTGCTTCTGACTTTCCTAACACTGTAGAAACTGTGGTACTTCTTTTAAAATTGTAAAATTGAATTTTAAATTTGAACATCAATAATTATTTAAATAGCCCTGAAGACCATTCTCAGGATTTCCAGATTTGAATAGTCTGCCATATTTGAAAATAGCTGGATACCCCACGATTTATACAGGCTGAAATAACCACACAGGCAGAGTTGGAATTAGACTGAAACAAGCAATACAAATATTACAAATTTCACTAAGTAGTACTGAGTAAAATTAGGATTAGAATCTAATTGCAGCTGTAAAAAAATACACTTTTGACTAGTGCCAGAATTTTTAAAATGTTACTAAGCCAAAAATAGATTATAAAACTACTTATTTCTGTCACACATTCCAACAATTTTATCAGCAAAACGGAGAATGTGTTTAGTTGGGAAAAGAGTTGAAAGAATCTGTCCAAACTGAACTGTGCAGTTTAAGGCATGACAAATTAAAATCCTGAGACTGGAATACTAGTGACCCACTGCTTCTTGAACTCGTGTGCGCACTTGTGTTCACCCTCCAATCTTATGCTTTTATGTCAAGCTGAAGAATGAATCTACAATTAGATCAGATACTTTGAAGAAAAAACATTTTAACAGGTTCCATGTGTCAAAATGAGAAAAGGGAATCAATTGTCATGAATTTTACACACTGTATTTGATTGAGAATGCAAACATTCAGGTGTAAGATAATGATATTACCAGGATATGGCCACACTCCTAAATTCTTTGTCAAAGAAGGATTGAAATTACTCACTTGTCAGCTTTTAGTTGGTCATGTGCACTCAAAGGTGGAGGTTCGTAAAGTACCAAAGCACCTTCTTCATATGGATCATGAAGAGATCGCCTGGCTCCTGCACGCTTAATCCCCAATGCCTTCAGGCCAAGGGAACCTTAAATGTGACATTGAATGTTTGAACTTAGTTAGAAATACAAGTTTCACAAAACACATATTGAAAAAAAAATCAAACTTTTCACTCTTTAACTTAATGAACAATGACAACTTGTACATTGAGCAAATTTAACCTCCACTTTCCTTCAATCAGATGCAACATAAAATTATGATTAACAATAAAACAATTCTGGAAGCATTGAAACATAGATGATTACCAGAAAAAACACCAAATAACTCCACAATAATCAACTTTTAGAAAAATGACTGTACTTGTATTAGTAACATTACATCAACATGTTACAAACTAAGTTCTGATGAAAGGCAATTGACCTATATTACTGTTTCTCTCTCCATAGATGCCCTCTGACCTCCTGAGTATTTCCAGCATTTTCTGATATTATTTCAGATTTTCAACACCCAGTAGTTTGGGTTCAATACTTTAATTTGAGCACTGTGACCATCACATATATAATCACTGCAGCCTTTTTGGTGCTGACAACATTCCATGACAGGACAAAAATGGATATCCAATTGTTTGTTGAGAAATACATGTTGGCCAGGATATCTGCTCCTCTTTGTGAACAGCCGTGGAATTGTTAACATCAGTTGATGGAACCACAGTTTAACATCTGACCAGAAGGATAGCTCCTCTGACAACATTGCAATCCTTTATTATTTTACTGAATTAGACTAAATGACAACCTCAAACCTCACCAACTTCTAACCTAGAGATGCAGATATTGGTCAATCTGAGAGAAATTCATTCAGCTTTACATGTGTATACAGCAATGAATGCTCAAAACATTACACAGGTATTCATGCATTGGGAAAGTTATTGCGTTTTATCCATTGATAAGACATCTCCAACTGATATTCCCAGGTAGATCCTGAATTAAATTGCCCATGTGTAATGATGGATATTATGTACATGGTTTCCAAACGGGTTCCACATTAAGTGACAACTGCCCTTCCTCCAATAACTTGTTTATTGGCATTTTAGTAAGCAAACAGTCACTTCATGGGTCAACTGTACAATTCCATTATTGGTTTGCTCTCCATCTATTTTAACACCTCTACCCATTAAGCGACTATCTAATTCTCTCTCAAGTAAAAAGAAAACTCACTTTGCTCCTCCATCCCTTCCCTGCCCTCAAGGAATGGCAGAGATTTGACAGCTGACTGACAGAGGATCTGAGGAGGATCTGCAATCAAATTGGAACCTTGAACTGGAGGTAGAGTTTAAATTGGGCTCCAGATAATTCCTTAAAGGTTCCAATTCAAGCGCAGAATTTTGTGAATTGTTTATGCAGCACTTTTGCACTCTAAGATCTCCTGGGTTAGATTAATGTAATAAATCTCAAAAGCTGCCTATTATTTCTATACTATATAGAAACCATCAGATCACCTTGATTAGAGTAGAATATTGGCATCTCACTTTACTATATCCATTACCTCTTAAGTACAGAGGGATCAAGGTATTCTACTACACAACTTACAAAAGGCTAGTATTCAAGTACAGCTGTAATCAAGAGTCTAATGGAATGTTATCCTTTTTAAGAAAGAAATTGACCATAAAAGTGAGGACGTTACATTTCGATTATACAGGACATTGGCGAGACCACACCTCAAACATTGTGTGCTGTTTAGTCGCCTTAGTTAAGGAAGAATGCAAATGCAACGGAGTCAGTTCCAGGGGGTTTACTAAAAACCTTGAATAAGCAGGTTACGTTATGAGCAATGGTTCGATTGGGCTTGTTTCCACTGGTGTTCAGGATAATCAAGGATGACTTGGTTTAAGTATATAAGATCTTGAATGGTCTTGTCAGGGCGGATGTGGAAATGATGTTTTCTTTTGTAGGAGAGTCCAGAACTGGGGCCCTTTTAAAAAATTAGGGGTTATCCTTCAAGGTCAGAGATGAGGAAAAGAAGTTCTCTCTCAGTGGGTTGCATGACTTTGAAACTCCCCGCTTTAGAAGGGAGGATCATTGAATATTTTTACGGTCGAGGTAGACCTTTTTTTAAAACAAGGGAATCAAAAGTTATCAGGAGTAGATACGAATGCGGAATTTGTAACACAAACAGATCAGTCAAGATCTTATTCAATGGTTGAGGAGGCTCAAGGGGCCAAATAACCTACTCCTACTCCTAATTCTTATGCTCATAAGTGATTCAGTTATAATTTTCTAAGTTAACTGAGCAACTA